GTGCCACTTGGTTTCCATGTGGTCCCCTTAATTAGTTCTCTGTACTAGCCTGTAGTCAGTCACAGATGGCTCTGGGAGAGATCTGTGCTATTTTCTGAGTAAGATATTAGACTGCTCTATAATACCAGGCATGCAAAGAAGTCCCCAGAGAGGGCAGGAGCGGTCTGCATTCACATGTCTGATGTAGCTGATGTGCTGTGTCAGAAGCAGAGAGAAAACACATGAAAAAACAGCTCCTTCCCACGCATCAGTCTCCTGTCTTCCACCTCACTCAGGGCATTGTGGACATGTCCTCCTGGTCCCAGCCAAGGTGAGAGCAGACACTCTAAGACATAGCCTTTAAGCCTTGTCTAGTCCATCTGGACGGTCCCAACTCTAGAACCGATTGCTTTTCAAATGCTGTAATCTTAGGCAAGTTCTCTGCTTCAACCATGATACCCGACCCCCATTCACTCTCCTGAGGGGCCTGGGCACAGAATTGCTGTCCTCCTACTCTTCCCTGCCTACATAGGCTGATGACTCTGGGGCACTTTCGAGGGACCAGAATGGGTGCTTAGAGAGCTTCTGTTTACAGATCATGACCCCCCAACTTCCTGAGGCCTGGTCACTCAGAGCTTTCCCTGTCTGGCTTTTCCACACTTCTGCCTAATGGTGCAGTGGGATTAAGAAGAAGAGGAGAGGAGCTTGGCCATTGGGAAGAGGAGAGTTAAATGGGGGAAGGGGTGAATGAGGGGAGGTCAAGTAGTCAAAGACTTCCTTCCCTGGTAGAAGGCCTTTCCATGGTGTGAGTAGGTCTGAACCCAATTACTGTGGGTCAGAGTTGAGGGAGTTGGTTTCCTATCTCTTCTTTCTATTTTTCTCTCACTATTCGTAGCCCTTAACTCTCTTGGGAAGGACTTTGATATTGAGTATGGGCTCTCAAGGAGAGCCATAGGAACTAATCTCCATCCCCACACCTTCCAGTTCTACCAACCCCCTACACACACATGCACACACACACACACACACACACACACACACACACACACACACTGTGGGGAGGACTGTTCCTCCTGGGTCAAATAGAGGCTCCTCAGAGGTCCTCGTGCTCCTGTGACTGATGTGTAACTGTGTGTATAAATGTTGGGGGGCTTAGCTTTGAGAGAGTATCTTTGGGTTCTTATTTTCTGTCCCAGGCACAACTGCTGGAGAGTCCCTCCAGGTCTCATATCAATTCCTAGTCTCTGAAGACCCTGACCTCTGAAGTGGATCATGAGAAAACCATATTCTAACACATACCCTTCAGGGACCTGGCCTTGGCTTAGGGTTCCATTGTATTCTCTGCAGTGGCCTTCTAGAAGCTCTTTCTGGGCTACTTTTTCTGTGTAGCCCAGAGTTGGGGGTGGGAACAAAGGCACTGGGGCAGATCTCTCTCTATTCAGACTCCAACTGGGTCCACTTCAGAAGCCACCCCAGTTTGTTTTAAGCCCAAACTTGGCTGACATATTTGGCTCCAAAAGTTGGGATTGAAGATTAGAAGATATAGGCAGTGGTACTTCCACCCACTCCTCCCTAAACACTTCAACACTTTTTAACTTAGGAGGCCAGGGGAAGGAGGGAAGGCCATGCCTTGGCCTTTAGGGTACAAGGCTCATTGTTCTTCCAGGCTTGGTCCCCTTCACTTGTGACGCAGAAACCTTTTCCCTACCCACAAGATCACACTTTCTTGGCTTCTTTGTATCTTCTCTGTATGTGCAAACAGGGCTATTGTGTATACTTGGTGCTCGTGCCCATTTTGGGGCACTGTTCTTGCTGAACATTCCAACCGTGATGTTCTGGCCCAAGATCTTTTGCACGGTTACTTTCGACCCAACCTCAGAGATGCTTCCCTTGAAAACTCAGTGTTGTTTCCATAGTTATACTCCATTCACCACTCTGAGTTTGGTTTTGTCTTCACACTTATTTACTTGTGTAATGCTTCACTCACCTTCTTATCCTGATGTAAACTCCATGATCACCATCACCTGTTTACTGCTACATCCTCCGTTCTTGGTATCAGTAAAAACTCAATAAATTCAATAAATACTTGTTGACTGAATAGATGTTTCTTTTTTTTTTATAGGTGTAATTTTTCAAGCATTTAAATTCTTTTGAGAAGTCAAAGGTGACTGGTGTGTTTATTAATCAGGAATGGTCGGTGACCTTGTAAGGCATTCTCTGTGTGGAGTAGATGGAAGTTGAGGAACAGGAATTTTCCAACATATGTACACGTAATTCTCTTAGTGGAGCTTGACCATGAAGGGAAGCAGAGCAATGGGGCAATGGATGTTTGAGCCCAGAGTGTTTTATTAACTCAGGAGATCCTTGAGCATGTTGAAATGTTGCTGAGAAGGGCACAGCAGAACAGGTGTATGAAGAAGCAGGAAGAGATCGCTACAGTGCCAAGAGTGGAGGAAATGAGAAGGGGGAACTGTGGGCCCAGGCAGGGATATTAGGCATGGATCAGGGATTCCTTTTCATTGGAATAGAGGAAAGGAGTATGTAGATTCTGGCGCATAGGCGGTTCCTGCCAATGGCTTTAACTTTCTCTATGAAGTAGAAGATCAGAGTTGTAGGAAAAAGGGCAAAACGCAGTCTTCCCGGGGAATAAAGATTCGTGAGAAAACTTTGTGCCAAGTTGCAAACATTCTACCTTATTGTAAAAAGTCAAGGCTGTGTTCTGAAACAGCAGTTTGCTCAGTGTGCATCTGGGCTACTGTTCTAACAGCAGAGGAATGTGGAAACTTAGATCTGGAGAAGTTCTGGGAAAGCTTCCTAACTGACTCCACGGTGCATCTCTCAATCCTGTTAAAAACATGATTAACAGGCATTCACTCTCTGCTTAAGTAAAGTGAAGTGTCCTAATGGACAAAGATGATACTGTGGATCCGAGAGTACACCTATCCTTTGAAGAGAGTTTGCATACTCAGTCTTCTTGTGTGTAACAGGTATTCATTGCAGGCATGGTTGGTTAAGAGCAGTGATTAAAAAATAACATCTTTTAATCAAATCACACATCCATCTTATACCTCAGGGTATTTTGCATTCATACATGGGAAAGGTTAATCATGTCTGCATGAACAGTGAAACTATGACCTTGAACTTAGTGCAATCATAGTGCAACCTCGAAGTTTCCAAATTGAGCTTGGTGGACCATGAGGTCTCCCTAGTGAGAGGGAGATGGAGCCACTGAGATTCTAGGCCACGCCTTCTCATCAATCAACGTGGCTTTTAGGGTCTGTGCTGACTACTAATTTTATATACATAGAGGATTCCGCTGGAGCAAGAGAGTCTGACAATCTCCTTTCACAGCTGAAAGCAAATATCAATAGAATCGTTATATTAGTTATTTACTGAATTAGAATGTACTATTTGGCATTACATCACAGGTCTGGGTTACTTGACAGGGATTTTAGTAACTACTTACTATCTTAGGCAACAATTCACCTACCACCAAGTTCAACGTGTTGACTTTCGCTAGTTGGTCAAAGTACAGAGATGAACGAAAGGGCCTAGATTAGCACCTCGTCCCAATAATTATTTTTATACTTTTGCTATTAAACAAATTTATGTAGAAGTTTTATATTCAACATGAACTAAAAGTCCATTTCTGTTGCATCAGCTATGTTAACTATGTAAACTAAATTAATATACACAAGATAGGTTTGAGGAAAGGGGAGAAAATGAGATGCTACATCTTAAGCGTAGCCTTACTTCATAGCAAGTCCAGTATCTGTTAGACTTGAATCATATGACTCAAAAATATCTCTTCACAATAAAAGCAAGTTCTAAAAATGTGTTAAGCCTAATAAAAAACTAATCTTCCTGCTGGGTTGTGAAGCACATGAACTGTTCCAAGCGTCCATTCATAACCCGAGGCTGGACGACTGTGGGACTCAACAGTGATGTCTAAAGAGGTTGACGGGCTTCTCTCTAGAACTCAAGGCTGTAAAGATTGCATGGAGAGAAAGGCAGACAATCTCAAGTAATTGAGGTTCAGGAAGAAGGTGCTGTCTTGGGGCAAGAGGATCTAAGTTTCTAAAAGTTCCTTCAGCAGGGATGTCTGTTCTCTAGTTAGGAGACGTAAAATCACTAGGGAGAAAGGGTGAGGAAGAATCAGGGCCAGTGTTTGAGGAGGTGGCTGATGTGGTGGAATTCCTATCTGTGCAGAGTCAATGACAGCCATTAGGATAAAGATGGGAAGTGATTTACGTCAGTATGAACCAAACTCGCCCTCCTTGCAGAAAGAGCTTCTGGGGCCATCCTTTATTAACGAAGCCCAACTAGGGTCAACATAAGAGGAGCGAAGACTTTCCTGGCCCATGTGGTGGTCCATGCACAGCCCCAAGTTGACTTTTAGGCAAATCTACTTGATTAATGATGAAATAGAGGGAACCTATGGTGGCTATTATCAAGGAAGTTTGGATAGTCTATTACTGACAGGGGATGAAACTCAGTAGACTTACTGGCAACTTTTATCAATTAAATCATATTTGTATGTAGATCAAAGAGTACACAACATTTCCTTTAACACATCATACAACCCTCTTTTCCCAGGGAGAAGGCTGTTCACAGCTAATTCATTCTGAGGCCTGCTTCTTCCATAGGGCGAGTGCCACCACACCCGAGGCCTGCTTCTTCCGTAATAGAAAAAAGATGAATGGGGATTGACCCTATGACCTG